TAGATCTTCACACCCTCACATCTGCAGATGTAGATCTTCACACCCTCACACCTGCAGATCTACATCTTCACACCCTCACACCTGCAGATCTAGATCTTCACATCCTCACACCTGCAGATCTAGACCTTCACACCTTCACATCTGCTGATCTAGATCTTCACACCTTCACACCTGCAGATCTAGATCTTCACATCCTCACACCTGCAGATCTAGATCTTCACACCCTCACATCTGCAGATCTACATCATCACACCCTCACACCGGCAGATCTAGATCTTCACACCCTCACACCTGCAGATCTAGATCTTCACACCCTCACACCTGCAGATCTAGATCTTCACACCCTCACATCTGCAGATCTACATCATCACACCCTCACACCTGCAGATCTAGATCTTCACACCCTCACACCTGCAGATCTAGATCTTCACACCCTCACACCTGCAGATCTAGATCTTCACACCTTCACATCTGCAGATCTCCTCTCGCTCTTCTTCTATTCTCTCTTAAGGCGGGGGCGGTGCCGCCGGAGCGCCACGAAACGCAACCCTTTCGCACGAAATGCACGTTGGACGTCCAAAACCTAGGTAAAATTGCGATTTTGAAGCGTCCCCGCCAACCCTTTCGCACGAAATGGACGTTGGACGTCAAAAACTGAGGAAAAATTGCAATTTTTATTGGTCGCGCGCAACCCTTTCGCACGAAATGGACGTTGGACGTCAAAAACTGAGAAAAAATTGCAACTTTTATTGGTCGCGCGCAACCCTTTCGCACGAAATGGACGTTGGACGTCAAAAACTGAAGAAAAAATGCGACTTTGAAGCGTCCCGCGCAACCCTTTCGCACGAAATGGACGTTGGACGTCAAAAACTGAGGAAAAATTGCGACTTTACTTAGTCAATCGCAACCCTTACGCACGAAATGGACGTTGGACATCAAAAACTGAGGAAAAATTGCGATTTTACTTAGTCAATCGCAACCCTTTCGCACGAAATGGACGTTGGACGTCAAAAACTGAAGAAAAAATGCGATTTTACTTAGTTAATCGCAACCCTTACGCGCGAAATGGACGTTGGACGTCAAAAATTGAGGAAAAATTGCGATTTTACTTGGTCAATCGTAACCCTTTCGCACGAAATGGACATTGGACGTCAAAAACGGAGAAAAAATTGCGATGGACGCTTTCGTTTGTGTAAAAGTGTCTGTGTTTAAAGGCGTCTGTGTGTAAAAGCGTTTGTGTGTGAAAGTGTGTCTGCGTGTGTAAAAAGCATCTGCTTGTAAAAGCGTCTGTGTGTAAACCCGTCTGTGTGTAAAAGCGTTTGTGTGTGAAAGCGTGTGTGCGTGTGTAAAACGCATCTGCGTGTAAAAGCGTCTGCGTGTAAAAGCGTCTGTGTGTAAAACCGTCTGTGTAAAAGCCTTTTTGTGTAAAAGCTTTTGTGTGTAAAAGCGTCTGTGTGTAAAAGCGTCTGTGTGTAAAAGCGTCTGTGTGTAAAAGCGTTTGTGTGTGAAAGCGGGTGTGCGTGTGTAAAAAGCTTCTGCGTGTAAAATGCGTGTAAAAGCGTCTGCGGGTACAAGCGTCTGTGTGTAAACGCGTCTGTATGTAAAAGCGTTTGTGTGTGAAAGCGTGTGTGCGTGTGTAAAACGCATCTGCGTGTAAAAGCGTCTGCGTGTAGAAGCGTCTGTGTGTAAAACCGTTTGTGTGTAAAAGTTTTTGTGTGTCAAAGCGTCTGTGTGTAAAAGCGTCTGTGTGTAAAAGTGTGTGTAAAAGTGTTTATGTGTAAAAGATTCTGTGTGTAAAAGCGTCTCTGTATAAAAGCTTCGCGTTTCTTCGCGTTCACGGAATGATGGTGCCGAGCCTTTTTCCGCAATGTGTGTGTGGGAATTACCATAATAAAATGAGATAGCACATGTCATTCGCAGACTCATGGTACCGAGCCTCCTGTGCACTTTTGTTGCTCACATTACATTTCTCTATGTTTTCTTTCTACCTCCCCCTTTCATTCTCTCTCTCTCTCTCTTGCTTTCTCTTTCTCTCTCTCTCTCTCTCTCTCTCTCTCTTTCTCTCTCTCTCTCTCTCTTTATCTCTCCCCCCTCTTTCTCTCTGTGGTTGCAAGACACATGTCATCTGATGCCCTTTACCAAATATTCTCTTCTTGATCAATCTTACTTTTTCACACCATATCTTTCCATAGCTCATATAAAATTCACCAACTATTCACCGACTATCTTTTACGACTACCATCCTCAGAGCTGCTTGAAAAACATCTTTTTCGCTCTCGGGCCAGCCGTCGTCTAGTTTCTCAATGATGCATAATGATGCAAAATAATTTACCTGTTTGTTTAGCTTTATCTGTTGCCCCACACTGTTTGAAGGGGTGTATTTATCGAAGGAAGTTTAGAAATTAAACGTCCGACAATATGGACAGATGGAATAGCAGAGGCGGGAAGAGTCAGAGAGGAGAAGAAAAGAAGAGAGAAGATCAGAGAGGAGAAAGAGTGAGAAGGAAGAAGATGCAGGTGCGCGAAAAAATAGGAAAGTCGCGATTCACTATGTTTTTCCAATGATTTGTGGCTCCAGAGGGTTGAAAAGTAACCTCGCTAAAGCGGCGGGATGCGGAGCCATCTAGCCAGATGAGAAATGAAAAGTTGCACGCCGTTGTAGCGCGAAGCACATTTCCAAGTCAAAATGCGCAAAGCACCTCAGCTTCGGAGCAGTTCTAGAAGTCGCGATGTCGAAAAAGTGTACGCCGTTGTGGCGCGAACACATTTCCAAGTAAAAAAAGACATAAGACACCATGTTCGGACCACTTTTGGTAGTTGAGACGGCGCAACGAAGCACATTTCCAAGTCATGCACAAAACACACCAACGTCGGAGCACTTTTGGAACTTGAGATGTCGAAAAAGTGCACGCCGATGTGGCGCGAAGCACATCTCCAAGTCAAAAGTGTCAAAAACTGACGGTCCCAGACCACTTTTGAAAGTTGAGATGTCGAAATTGCACGCTGTTGTGGCTTTCCAAGTCAAAATGTTAAAAGCACCACATGCTCGAACCACTTTTTGACGTGCAGATGTCGAAAAAAGTTGCACGCTGTTGTGGCGCGAAGCACATTTCCAATTCAGAATGCACAAAGCGCCAGATGTACGGACCACTTTTGACGGTTGAGATGTGGTTTTGCGTGGCAGGCGCAAGGGATTTTGCACCTTGTCAAAAGTGAGCAAAAGGTGAAGGTCTTGTAGCAGTTTCAACTACAACTACAACTACAATACACTACACTACAGTAGACTACACTACACAGGACTCCACTACACTAGATAGATTATACTATACATTACACTACACTACACTACACCCCACTACACGACACCGCCCTGCATTACACTACATTACGCTACACTACTGTATACTACACTACACAACATCTCACTACACTACTGTGTACTACACTACACAACACCCCACTACACTACACTTCACTCCACTACACTACATTACACTACACTTCACTCCACTACACTACATTACACTACACTACCGTATACTACACTACACAACACTCCACTACACTACACTACACCCCACAACACTACACTACATTACATTGCACTACATTACACTACAGTACACTACACTACACTACAATATACTACACTACACAACACTCCACCACAGTACACTACACTTCACTACCCTACACCACACTCCACCACACTACACAACACTCCACTCCATTCCACTCCACTCCAGTCCACCCCACTACACTACACTCCACCACATTACACTCCACTACACTATATTGCTCTACACTACATTACACTACATTACACTACATTACACTACATTACACTACCCTCAACTGCACTATGCTACACTGCACCTACAACTACAACCACAACTACAACTACGCTACTTTACACTACACTACACTACACTAGACTACACTACATAGCCCCTCCGTACATTACATTACACCAGCTCCATTACACCGCCACAATTTAACTGCAAATACACTACGCTAACTACACTACACCGCAACTACAACTCCACTACGTTGCAACTACAGCTGCACTACACCACACTCAATCAGCAGTTGTGGGTGAGGTGACCACTGCAACCATTACAGCCACTCCAACAAACACAAATCCAACCACCTTTCGGTCAATCAGTGAATTCCCTCTGCCATCCGTGATTCACAACAACCAGCCTCTCCTATAGTTTTCCTATTCTAAAACTTCCGCCACCGCCGTGCGCGGTACTACTGGTATGATGGGGACATTAGAAAAGGAAACAGCGCCCAAACTTAATGGCTAGCATGTAGTCGTTGAGTCGTGGTCGTTGATTCATGGTCGTTGATTCATGGTCGCTGATTCGCCTATGTGGTCGCTGATCTGTGAAATGTGGTCGCTGATTCTGATTATGTGGTCGCTGATTCGTGGTCGCTGATTCTTGGTGACTGATTCGGAGGGCTGGTCTCTGATTCGGAGTTTTCTCCACGAGGAGGTAATAAATTGATAGCCGGGTGCCTGCCAAGAATTCGAAGGCATCACGCCGAGCTTGAGCCAACAAATTCCTGCGGAACACGCGTTTGTTCTGAGTAAATACCATTAAATACCATTGAATATGCCTAAAATAGAAATTCACAGGGAGTCCTGAGTTTCGATGGGTAACCACATCTGTTTGGTAAGGATTCATCCCTACAGGAGAAAAATCAAAGTAGAAAATGTTGCAACATCACCGCATAGTTGAAGCATGAAAGCTGTGCCCAAGTTTCTGGAACTATATCATATGCAAGTAGAACAAGTCAAAATGATGCGCATTCTCTCATCTCTCCACTTTTCGCTCTGTCAGTGGCAGGTTCATTGCTCCATAGATGACGCGGCTGTGAGCTTGTGCACAATGACCGGAGAGAGTCAGCCGATAATTTTGGCGTGAGAACAAAAATCCCGAGAAAGCCTTCTGCACACACGGAAATGTGCTGCGTGCCGCAGGCTACTGATATCCGCAGTTGGGTTGCAAGTTCCACCTTTCTTCGCCCATAGATTTGGAATTTGGAAACAAACCCAACGCGCACGCTGATCTTTAGCAGAATAGTTCTTATCTGGCAGCTTCGGCAACACGACTGTAACATGATCGTATTTGGATTTTAGATTCTGCTGGTGAATGCGAAATCCGCTTTTGACACCTTACACTGGGAGGGAGGGAGAAAGAGTGACAGAGAGTGATAGAGACACTCCGAAATAATATGTGTGCGCGTGTCTGTGTGCATTTGCATCTGCAGCTCAATGGATGTGTAAACTGCTGAAGATACATGAAAATACTTTCTTGAGGCTAGTTCCCCACAAACTCTGGATGTTTCATTATACATTGCACTGGACTAGACAGCTGAGTCGCAGGCACTAAATTCAAGACTGGCAGGGAAAGCCATTGATGGGATATTGGAACCCCGTGGCCTCCCAAAAGGTCTAAAGCACACTTCTTCTGCCAAACATGCCTCGCACTTATTTTTGTTTACCTGTCGAGTGTTGAGACTCAGCAGTGTTTTTTTGCAGGTCAATCGATTGACAAAACCGTGCCTCAACTCGTGGGATTGTCTCTAAAATTCCCCAACGTGCGTATTTCCATTGGAATAAGGATTATGAACCATGGTCCCAATGGTAGTCTGGGGACGAACATTTTGAGACAACCCCATGTCAAGATGTCCACCAATTCAACTTTTCTCCTGCCAAGGGCAGCTGATCCCCTGGCGAACGCCTATGGGCCTATGGTTTTGCTGTGCTCATCGGTCTCATCCCATTCAGCAGCCTTTCGTGTAGAAGCTGTCGCTTGCCTCGGGCCCGCCTGCTTGGTGAGTAAAGAAGGGGACCTCTTCCCAACTACCCCTGCTGGCTACAAGCCAAATGTCAAGCCCCAGTGAAATGATAAAAATTGGCTACCAATTTTCCAGGAATGTTACTTTTTGTTGAGCACCTTTGAAGCTGCAATAGCCCATTCCTTGCTGACCGTTCAAATCAGTCATTAGGCAGGCATGCAACAGCATTCTTTTGATCTCGTTGCTACATCGATGCTGCACAGCACCTTCAGTTTCCCCTGTGCAAATTGGAAACCAACCGGTGTGTCAGAAATGTTCGCCATGAACAAGGAAAACGGTCATTGCAGCCTGTGCCATGGAGTGCATGGCGGGACCAGGGACCAACCTCTATTATAGTAAACAGAAAGGTCAGCCGTGGACTGCGCCCGGCTAGCTGCATCAATAATGTTGGATGCCGAAGGTACGTATTCGAAAAAGACAAAGCACTGCAAACTGGCCGCAAGGGACCAGGACAAGGCAGTGATGTCATTCAGTACCTCCTCATGCGACCAGCCTCCAACCATGCTGCCTAAGGCAGATTGGTTGTCAATGAAAAACAGCAAGAGCTGCCCTCGTAATTTTTCAGGCCATGTCAGGAAGCAAATTGGTGGCCCCACAGCTTCGATGCGGTGAATGTTGTTGACCCCACCCCACCGCTGCTGGATGGAGTGCGGGACCTCTGCACAACAAAACTCCGTGCTTCGATCCAAAAAGGTCAGACATACCGCCACTTTCCCACTGCCTTCTCCATCTGAATAAGCTACCAAGAATTTCTCAGCTGGCGAGCGGGGCACCCCGCGACCAGGAAGGGAGCGCAAATGCACCAACCACCACTCCAACTGAGCCCGCAGCACCGCCGACAATTGAAAATTCTTGCCGCCCGATGCATACTGCCGTCGCTTGATGGCCGACAACTGAGCACGACCAAAGCGACCAAAGGCTGCCACCAGCGCAAAACCAAGCTTGCCTCGCAGGCGGGCTGCATGCCCAGGGCGCAGCCAATTAGCAGCGATAATTGCCTGAATGTCATCCTGAAGGCCAGCTAATCGGCTGGGCAAGATCTGCACCAAAGCGTGCGGGCTGCTGAGCGCCCAGGAGACACCCAAAGAATCGAAGCATGTTGAAGCTGATGAGCTGCACTTGTCCATGTCCAGCGTCAGGCCTAGCAAGCTGACTAGCTCCACCCAGGTTTGCCGCGCACTCTCTGCAGAAAAATGCGGCTCAACACCATTCACGTCGTCCACATAGTCCAAGACCAGCAGGCTGAAATGGTGCCAAGCAATTGTCATGAGCAAAAGCACCAAACGACCCCAATTGGCTGGCGCTCTACGAGCTCCAAAAGGCAGCGCTGTGAGGACACCAATCATCACTGTGGCTCGCAAGCAATCCCACCATGCCACTCCCTGAAACTTGTACTGGGACGGTGACACCGCCACCTGTCGGTAGGCCGCTTTGAAATCTGCAGTGAAGCCCTCTAGCTGCACACCAAGGCCAAAACGGACCTGCAAGTGCCGAATGAGTGCCAAAATGTGCTCAATGCCGCGGGGCACATAGGTTTCGTAGTCTTCCACTGTGGCGTTGACCAAGCTCTCTGACATCTCGTCAATGTTCCGGCACTTCCGGCGGCCTGCAGACCCATGGTGCTCCCAGATAGGAAAACGCCGCGAGACCACTGCCACCCACGATGGAAGGTCGGACGCTTCCCATGGCCCCAACATGACCTTGGAATCCAACTCATTCTGTGTCTTCTGCAGACTGGCCCGGTCCAACTCTGCATCGCCGAACTCCGGACCGACGCTATCAGCTGGGGGTTGCGCACCTTGGCCTGGCTCAGAAGAGCCTCAACTGAGAGAGTCGGCCGGGTGAACTTCAAGGGCATCACAAATGAGTGTGCTGCACGGCCCACACAGCGCACCCCGGCACTGTAATCCAAATTGAAAAACAGATCCTCCGAGCCAGCTTCTTTTGCAAGGATGTGGAGAAGCGGCAGATGCCACTTCCCAATGATCCGGCGCACCTGCGGGTGCAAGCCCTGCTGCCACTGCGCTTGCACAGGCTGAAGTGATTCTGCCAAGTGGCGTATGCGCTTCATTTGCTCCTTGCGCCAACTCACAATGCCCCCACCAAGGCTCTCCAAATGCTCTGCAGCTTGCAACAGTTTGGGCGGCAGGTTTGGAAGCTGGGCCAATGGGTGCTCAGTACCAAAACAAGCCCGTTGCCAATGCTGGTCAGGTGCAAGGCCAGTGGGCACCAGAGGCGGTAAAGCCCTTCCAGTCGGTTGCAAACCAGTTGAAGCAGTAAGTGATGTAGCTGCAAAAGTCCTTCGGCGAGAAGGTTGAAAACGGTGTGAAGCTGCCATGCCCAAAAACTCAGCTGGCTGATCGCCCAAGCGACGAACAGGGTCAGCTGGATAGATCTGATCACTCAGCTGCATGCCAGAATTGACACAGTTCAAAGGCTCCAAGCCAAGGCCACGCCACTCAAAAGCTGACACATCGCCAGCCTTGTCACTAAAGCGTGCCATGTCATGGACCCCGTCGCCGAAGCAGCTCCATCTCAGGTTTGCTTGGGCTTCGTGTGGTTCACACGCCTGTGAGGCTTGCCACATCCCTTGATGTCGCAAATGTGCAACCGGCTGTGTGGACATTTCTCATCCTTGCATTTGCCCAGGTTCCAGCTGTGGCACAAAGCCACCCCTCCTTTGGCCTCCTGAATGATGTAATCCCTGTCTGGTTCCAATGCTCTCCTTCGCTTTTGCCCGGGCATCTCTGGACCATACTGCCAAGCTCCAGCCAAAGCCGACATGCTGGCCTTGATAGCCTCACCCAAAGTCAACCCTTCGGGCCCTCTCGTCAATTCGACCCATCGAAGCCGGTGTTGCATCTCCACTTCCGCCACCGCTGTCAAGCCAGGAGAGCGGGGATGAAAAAGCTTCTCCTCCACCAGCTCCAAATAATCATCCGCCACTTGTTTGGGGCACCAGCCATCCACACCCACCAAGACATAGGTGTTCAAGAGAACCGACAGGGACAACCAATAGCCATATGGCGTAGTGCTCAAATCAATGCCTTTGGCCACACCATGCTCCAGGAACACCCCATTGCCAAGGCTCTGACCTTGGAGGAAGGTTCGAACCGACCAGAATCGGACACAGCAACCACGACGACGACGCCGACGCAGACGACGGCGACGACGACGACGACGACGGCGGCGACAGCGACGACGACGACGACGACGACGACAACAACCACAAGAAAACAACAACAACAGCAAGAAGACCAAACACAAAAAGGGGGGAGGAAAAAAAAACGGGAGGAAAGAGGGACCCCCCCCCCAAAAAAAAAAAAACACACACACTAACACACACACACACCACACACACACACACACACCGCGGCCGACGCCCCCGCGACCGACGCGCCCCCGCGCCGACCCCCCGCGACCGACGCCCCCCGGGCCGACGCCCGACGCGGCCGGCGCCCGACGCCCGACGCCCCACGGCCGCGCGCCGAGATGCAACAGAAACTGAGGTCTGGACGTTCTTTGGCTTGGGGGGAGGTAGCCAGGCTACGCACCCTTGCCAAAGGAAACGCTGTCAAGCTCTGCTTTTCCCGCTCTCTGTAGATGCGCCCGAGAAGGGAATCACATGGCATTTTTCGGGCACGAAAAGTTGTGCCGTAAGCGGCTGAACTTTTTGCAGTCAAGGCATTTTTGGTGGTTGGGTTTAATGGGATCTCCCAATCTTCCGGAGCATCCACTGACCCCGTCAATGCCTTCTCAGCCTCCACCCGAGCCCGGCGCCAGACCGTTCGAATGACCGATGAGTCACGGAGGCTGGTTGCGGGAGGTTGGAGCCGAGCTGCTACTTTGGCCTCCAAATCATCAATGTCCTTGACACAATCGAAAAAGAGGGCACAAGTGGTCAATCCTTCAGCTTCCAAGAATGTCTTCAATGCTGGAGGCGCAGCCGAATCCGTTAAAATCTCAGCAAGCACCCGCTCCAGCGGCATTTGGAGGTTGAACAGGGGAGGCCGGCGGGTCAAAATTCAAATCCTCCTGAATCTTAGCCAAAACTACCGGGCACAACATTCCTCACAGGGCACTCAACCCAGGACATCACGGAAAACCTGGCATGCTTCCTAATGAGCTCTGTGCCAACCTAACCTACCCACTCTCCACATTAGGCAGGCATGCAACAGCATTCTTTTGATCTCGTTGCTACATCGATGCTGCACAGCACCTTCAGTTTCCCCTGTGCAAATTGGAAACCAACCGGTGTGTCAGAAATGCTCGCAATGAGACAGGGGTACGTGTTCATACCTCCTAAGAAGCATGTGCATAACCTGAAACTCAAATCGCAATGAGACGTCGGCCACTTAATTGAAAGTGGAGAGGAAAAAAAAACTGCTGAGCAAGCCCCCTTGAAACATCTGGGTGAAACAAAAGAAACAATGGTGAAAGACCGCCGCACGCCGCCAGCTCGCCCGGCACAGCCGGGGAGGCAGGCATCGCGAGGGAAGCCCCACCAGCCACCCCTGCGCCCAATGAAATGGGGAGGGAAAGGCTACTAGAAGCCATCGAGCTCAGTGCCGTCAGAGGATTCGCCTGATGACGAGCTCGAAGAGGCCCAGCTAGAACTATCAGATGGCACCTCCCCATCTAGCGGTGATTGCCTGGCACGATGGCGCTGCCGACGGCGACCACCAGGCAACTTTGGCTCGACTGGCATGACGCCTGCATCACTGAGCAAAGTTGAGAAGCTGGCCGGTGCCGAGCAGGCTCCGCAATCAACCAAATCGTCTGATTGAGGCCTGTCACGAAAAAAGTCTTTGGTGTCCGGGATGTGATGCCAAATCGCCAACCGCATTTGGTAACACCTGGCGCAGCCAAGACATGCAAACAGCGTGGCTTCCCTTTTGTCGGCGGTTTGGCGTTCGCAACCCACCCGTTTGGAGATGCTGCGTCATCGCCCCGAAGCTGTGGATCAGCCACTTCTGCTCCTGGCTGTGGAATCAAAGGCGGGGGCGGCTCAAAATCAGCCCCCGGTCGCCAACCTGCCACTACATGGGAAGAAACCTGCGCCTTGTAGGCCAATTCAGAAACACAACGCGACGTATCATAACGGAGTGGTTCTGCACTTTGCGGGCCCCAATGCCCCAAGACCCTTCGGGACTCAATCGACATCATCATTTGACTTGCCAAAGTGGGAAGCAGGCGGCGGCACGCATGCAACGTGACGGCTGCAGCTCCAGTAGCATCCAAACCGAGCGGGGCCAACGCAAGAGCTCTCCGCAAGAGTCCCACTGCGCAAGAGTACGATGCCGGTCTCGGCATCGGATTTTCTAAATCTTTCCCAAATTGGGGCATCACATAGTCCAATTCTAAAGAATGTTTTGCTGCAAAGCCTTCCAAAAGTTCCAGCAAAGAGTCGGCCCATGGGTGAGGACTGAAACCAGACCTCAAAGCAGCGAACGGAAACCCCGTCCTCCTCTTTTTGGATCGCCAGCAAAAACCAAAAATGCTCGACTGGCCTGATTTCACGCCTTCCGATCTTTGCGCATCAGAAAAACGAAGGCACGCGTGCGCCAGCAGACAGCCCAAAAGCGCTGCCCATCTAATAGCTAAAGGCACATCAGCAGCACATCCAACCATCTCCAGATGCTGAAGTTGTTCAACCGTGAGGCATGGCAAAGACCGGCTTTGGCTCGCTGCTGCTCGCTCTGCCGCAGATTGTTTCGCCAGCTTGCAAACAGCAAGAACCACCGGGTGGTCCAACGGCCAGTTCAACATCAGCGAGTCCGACATGAGCTTCAATCCCGCCCGCAAAGACACGGGCACAGAGTAGCCACTATGCTGAGCGTCTGCAAGAAAATTAGCCAAGCGGACGCCTGTCCAATCCATGTTGCTAAAGCCATGGGCCACAGTCCACCGCTCTAAGCGCTCCACTGCACGAACAGCAGCTCTCCATGTGTTGACAGCACCGCTCGCCCCCAAAAACACCAAGCGCAGCAATTTTTCCACTTCTGGCACACTGCCAAGTTCTGACCGAAGCTCAGGGATAAGGCCAGCCGAAGCTCCTACTCGCCAAGCTGCAAAAATGGCCCTATCAAGGACGGCATTCATTGCTGAATCCTCCAAGGACTTTGCAGAATATATCTCCGCATTCCCACACACAGTCCTTCCGCCCACCAAGGGTAAAGTGCAAGCTTTGGAAAAACGCGGCCCGGCCTGAGCCCACACGTCAACTGCAGACCTGGCCCTAGCCCATGCCAATGCTAACTGTGAAGTGGCCTGCGCGGAACACATGGATTTAGCCGCAAAATTTTGCAATTTGTCCAGTGACGGAAAGGCATCGGCTAACAGGACGCCGCTCTTGATCTGCTCGCGTGCCAGAATTTGGCCAAGTTCATCACAGGGAGCCATGCCGCCAAAAGCCCAAACAAAGCGAGGGCTCCGCGGCTGCGCCATCAGCGCCTCAAAATTCAAATCCTCCTGAATCTTAGCCAAAACTACCGGGCACAACATTCCTCACAGGGCACTCAACCCAGGACATCACGGAAAACCTGGCATGCTTCCTAATGAGCTCTGTGCCAACCTAACCTACCCACTCTCCACAAACTCGACAGTGACACAACGGCACCCACGGGCCGTGCGCTCCCGCGCAACGGTTCTGCGCAGAGAGCAAGCAATGCCTGTGATCGGTATGTGTCACAATATCAAAAATTCTGGCATCGAAGGTGCTAAACTCAACGCCAAAGATTGTCACATACAGGAGTTGTTTGAAAAGGCTAATCGTTCTGCTATTTGGGTATGGCTCAAAAAAAGGGTATGGATCGTTCCGCGATGTTCCGCGGGTGATCCGGACGTATGGATCGTTTGGATCACCTGCATTTTGGTATGGATCATGGGGTATGGATCGCATGTGGTACCGGGGTATGGATCGGAACCTTACACTTTGAGCCGCAGCCATTTGGGGCGGCCTTGCATGCCAAAGACACAGTGACACGGTTTGGTTCTGAAGCTTTCGCACATGGGAAACTTGATGTTTTGCCCTGCAAACATTTAAACCCAACGCTACTCTGGACCCTCAATTGATACCTAAACTCTGCTCGAGCGTTTCTTGCAGCAGGAGTGGTTCTCCCAACCGAACATTGCCAATTCCGCACAACCTTCTCATTTCACACCAAAAAGACGAGTTGCTTGAAAAGGCTGCTCCGTCTGCAAATTAGGGGCAGCCTTGCGTGCCTAACAAACACAGGTTAACATGGCTCGGTTCGGAATCTTTCTCACTTGGGTAACTTAATGTTTGCCCAACATTATCCTGGACCCCGGGTACTCCACCTGGCCGTCCATGCAGGACAACTTGAAACTCCTTGAAGAGTACATGAAATACTTTGGGACGCTAAAATTGCAGCTTCCGGCGTGTAATTGTCATGCCTCTTTTGCTGCGATGGAGTTTTAGGCTTGGACAGCTCCCCTGCGACAGCACCCGGCAACAACAACTTGTGGCAAACGCGCTTTCAACGCTCTGCTGTAGCATGGCTCGGTTCACAATCTTTCTCATTTGGGCAACTTAATGTTTGCCCAACATTACCCTGGACCCCCGGGTACTCCACCTGGCCGTCCATGCAGGACAACTTGAAACTCCTTGAAGAGTACATGAAATACGTTGGGACGCTAAAATTGCAGCTTCCGGCGTGTAATTGTCATGCCGCTTTTGCTGCGATGGAGTTTAGGCTTGGACAGAGCTCCCCTGCGACAGCACCCGGCAACAACAACTTGTGGCAAACGCGCCTTCTGGAACAACGCTCTGCTGTAGCATGGCTCGGTTCACAATCTTTCTCATTTGGGCAACTTAATGTTTGCCCAACATTACCCTGGACCCCCGGGTACTCCACCTGGCCGTCCATGCAGGACAACTTGAAACTCCTTGAAGAGTACATGAAATACGTTGGGACGCTAAAATTGCAGCTTAAAGACAACAGCCAAAAACGCCGGGGTGTAATTGTAGCGCCTCTTTTGCTGCGATGGAGTTTTAGGCCTGGGCTTTTTTGCGTGGCTTTCGCACGACTTTCACAGATTGGACACCAAAGACGAGTTGTTTGAAAAGGCTGCTCCGTCTGCAAACTCGGGGCAGCCTTCCGTGGCTAACAAACACGTCTTAGCGTGTCCATTAGGCACCCCTTAAGAAGCCCAATTCTTAAAATTCATTAGGCACCCTTTTGAACGTGCTGGTGCATTGTAGATTGTACAAAGCAACAATATTAACGGACCGTACATATCCCCGTGTGTGGTGCCTACGGGGGGTTGTACCCAAATTTATCCACGATAAATTTCTTGGGGCCAAGTTTTTTCGGAATAAATTTCCATTCCCAAAAAAGGGCACAACCCCCAGGCGTACATGGTACACAAAAAATATCCAGAATCAATAGCAGAATCGGGACATGGGATTATGATCAGGTTTTCGTTTATTTATATATAGGTTAATAGTGGTACTGACGTTCTTATTGCACCTGTCGCAAACAAGCTATTGGAAGGAGCTTGTCAACCCAGAGTGGCAAACAAAAAAACCTTTTACTCGAACAGGACAATGTCTAGAGTAGTCCCCTCTCGGCTGTGAACGTTTAGACACAAATTTGAACATCCCAAGTCCACTTCCTCTTACTTTTGTCTTCCGATCGTTTCGTCTGTGGTCTGGAACAAGGCACCTGGCAGGCCAGGTGACCTCTGGCTGGTCCATGGTTTCCAGTTCGCAAATGGTAGAAACATCGAGGGTATGTTTGGTCATGTCAACCCTGGATTGACAAACCCCAAACGACTGTTTAAATGGGGGGTAAACCAAGTAAGTATGTCCAACTTCAACTGCGGCACTTCTTGAAAAGCGTCTCCTGCTGGTCGGGGGTTCTCCCGCCGACCAGTCAGGATCAACTTTTGGGTTGCGCGTGACAGATCGTGAGAAACATGAGAAACCCTCCAAACACAAACACGTATTTGTTTACTCAAATCTTGG